TCGGTTGTTCTCCACCAACTCCTGAGGAAAATATCATGCTCTTTAGCCGCTAACGCTAAATACTCCACTATGTTCACTCACCAGACATCTCAAGCTAGTCTTCCTATCTGGTTCTGGGCAGGTAGCTAGCATGCAGCTGATTTATCAGATCTTTTTGTTGTTGCTGAAAACAGGTGACTGGGCTAGAGGCTGATGAGAACAGTGAACCAAAACATTTAAGTTGTTGGCCATTAAACCTGCATTGCCCAATCATATTTCTTGGGCTTATCACTATTAGCACTGGTGGGAAGTAGCTAACTAAGCACACTGACTCCAATTTTCAGGCAATTCCCTTATTGTACTTACACTACTTCGCAGAGGCATATTATATTTTCATTTCACTACATTTATTTTACAGCTGTAGATACTAATTACCTTTCAGATTAAGTTATTACATTAAACAACACGACGAGCTTATGAAATATACTTGTTCTTGGCTTGCAACCCTTTAAGAAAAGCAATGTCTAATCATTATCATGTTTCAAATGTCTATGAGTAGTTAGCAGTTCCACCAGAGACATCCCCCCTGATGATTTAATTTAAATAACAGCTAAAGGCACAAAGAGGTACCATTATCCAATATTTCACTAAAACAGCAAAGATTGCAGAAAAGTCCAAGAAGTTAATAGACTATAAACTTGTGTCACAGAACTTTGTTATTTCTTATTAATACCCCATTAATCATCTCACAACACCCCAGATTTATCTGGTTACCCATGTTTGGGCCCGACCTGGAGGTTGGGATAGACCTACAACTAAACAACCTAACCATATATGAAGTAGTTAAAACCAGACACACCTTATCCAACACTGTAACAGTAAAACACTGTTTATGCATGTCATAAATAATGCTATACCACTCACAGGGGCCATTTTTCAGAACCAGTACTTTTACTGTTAATACTTTAAGTACATTTTGATGATAAGTAGGATTTTAAATAATGGGAATGCCATTAGTTTAGCAGGTATTTGGTGATAAATAGTGTTGGACACCAGTGGAATAAGCTTGAGCAATCACCAGAGTTATAACAACATGAATATTTGTACCAAATTTCATTGCAAACGTTTCAAATGTTGTTGAGACTTTCACTGAAAACCACAAATGTGAACCTCATGGTCGTGCTAGAGGAAATGTCAGACAATCACCAAAGTCATAAAGACTCTCACCTGCAAACAATGAATGTCTTAGCAAATTCTGTGCCTCTCCATCCATGGTTGACAATATATTTTACTAAAATCCGTAAATGTCAACCTGCTGATGACACTAGAGGAAAAGTCAGGGGATCACCAAAGTTATCCTCTGGGGACCATGAATATATGTTTAAAATGTCATGGCAATCCATCCTCTTTTTGTTGAGATATTTCAGTCTGGACCATAGTGGTAGGCCATCTGACATTGCCTCCCTAGAGCCGGAGCAAAAACATTGTACCATAAAGTACATTATTGAGTGTCACTGACACTATAAGACATTGTAGATAGGGTACATGTATTGTCTCTGACAGTAAAGGTCTTATTAATGGAAATGATATAGAGCCAAATTTCATCAGAGTTCATTGTTGTCTTTTAATGGACAAGTGTGACAGATAATAACAAGGGAAGCACTTACCACATGATACAATAAAGCTGGTAGGAAAAATGACACAAGCTGAACACAGAGGAAGAATGAAAAAACAAGGGGATGTTGTAGAAAAGTGGTCATGAGCAACAATATAAAATCATAAAATTCTTTGAATCATTGTGCCTGTCAACTCTTATAATATCCAGCTACTCACTGAAGCACATAACAACCCCAGAGAGACATTGAGCCAGAATATTGCCTCCATCATGCTGAATGGCTTCGATCTGGGAGTATCACTAAATGCTTTTTGTTTGTTTGTAATGAAATGTGATAGATCTATACATTTGATTAATGAGGCATTCTGCAATGTGCCCCATAGTGACTGAGACCAGAATCCTGTTGGACAGCTCAGACATCCAGCTGCTTCACACTGCTTTGAAAACACAGAAAAATGGCTGGTGCTCGTATTCCATGTAGAGGTATGATAAACAGCCTGTAGTCTGGTTTGCAGTGGTCCACATTTATTTTTGTCTTTTTTTGGGAAGCAGGCAGCCTTCCTCCTAAAAAAGACCTGCAGTATAGCATAGCCGGCTGGTGGACTGAATGCTGTGTGTGCTTCTCGAGAACATATTCCAAGCAAAGTGTCCACTTAGAATGAAATAAGGGTTTGTGTCGGGTTGGTGACACTGGGCCTCAACTGAGCTTGTGGTTGTTGCAGTGTCTGAAAGATGTGTATGTATCTGCCACAGCTGGATGCTTCCACTCCAGCCTGATGACTGTTTGACAGTTCGGTAATAGCCCCTGTTGACAGTCAAAGCAACCCTCCACTAGCAAAAGCAATTCAACGTGTGTTATTCAGAGTTAAACTCCCCTTTCACAGTAATTAGATTCTTGAATAAGATGATTTTGAATCCCTCGGAGCCCAGCCGAACAATTAATCTGGGAAGGAAAGTGCATGCTTTAATTGAAGCCTGATGGAGTGTTTTCCTTTGGAGAAGGGCATCTTTTAAAGCATCAAGGGCTCCTTCCTTTACATCTGGGTAATTTGTCAGAGCGGTTCAGGATAATTTGCAGACAGACTGAGCCATATAGACCTGCACCTTTCTGTGGAGCCTGGAAATGCTGATGTTATTTTCAAGTGTAATTGTTAGGATTATCTATTCATGTGTAAATGTTAAAACAAATGAAACATGCTGTGCTTTTAATACCTCGTGTTTTTTTTTTCTAAATACAGTGTTGAGGCCTCCCATTATCCGTAAAGTACTTGCTGTCACAAGGTTAAAATAAAATGCTGGATACCAAATGGCATCAGGATACTAACTTGACTCATTCTAACTCCGGCATGCTGCCTACACTGAGGCTGATTCCCTAAATCAGCAGTGTGCTTACGTAACAAGGGTCACCAGCGGACCCTCTGTGCAATAGAAAGCCCTTAATGAAATGCTCACATCATGTCCTCTAACCTGTCTGCTAATCATATCAGAAACAATAATTCCCAACCCAGCTGTGTGTTCTGTGTCAGAGAGCGGAACCAGATTAGAGGGATTTAAAAACACTGATATTGACAAAGTATCTGTTTTTTTATCCTCGTGGTAATCTCCTAACCTAACCTCATAACCTAGACCCACCTTTTAAACACCGTGTAACGTCTCTAGTACAGGGCCTCTGAAAAACAGCGGATCATGAGAGACTCAAACGTGATACATGGTGTTACATCACACGGGCACATAACGTCATGTTACATAATCTTTTCTCAGGAATTTGAATCTTTCTTACCAAAGTGAAAACATATCAAGTCAGGAGCAGTGTGATTAAAAAGAGCGGTGCATCACAATACAGTGCTCTCTTAGTCTAACAGATTTTTGCTTAATCCCTGAGAGTTTAATAGTGATGAAACTGCTGTCAAAAGAGCTAGCCTGTCCCAGTTTCAGGCACGGCTGCCCATTTGATTTTAGATTTCCACTTTTTTTTTGTCTGTGAATTTAGATTCAGGTTGCACAACAAGTGAACAATATTAGTCTCCTCGGGCTTGCAAGGAGTTTCAATGAAGGATTTAGAAATAATCAAAGGCCCAACCTCTAACGACATGCTCTCATTTGTGAGATGTGTGGTTACTGATGTCTTCTCTTTGACATTATATGAAGGATTACATCTAATCCTACTCAGTCTTGATGAAATCCTTAGTCCCATCCATTGTGTGCCTTAATAGTATACTATAATCTCTAAACATTATGGATGTGTGGCCTTAAATAAATTGATTTGTTTCTTTTGAATCTACTCTTTGTTTCATCCGGTTTTAAACATCCCATCATCCCCGATCACCCATATGCTGTCTTTGGTCTTTCTTGTCATCGACGTAATGTTCCCATCCCACACACATATGTCCTTTCGTGGCAGTGCATGCAGGTCCATCTTCCACATCTTCTTTCATCTCTGGCGTTGCAGTGTGTAATTCTGTCAAAGCTATACAAAGTTATGCCCCCTCGGGGTTTGCGTCAGAGCTGCTTGAAGTATTTGTCACTTCAGTTCAAATTTTGTGGTTGTGTTTGTTCCGCAGTGTTCAAAGTGCTCAGCTGTGTTTGATCAAAGAGATGCTGTCTTTTGAAGAGCAGTCCAATTGCTGTTTGTTTTTGGTTTGTTGACACTCCTGATTTCTGTACTTCACTATTTGCCAGATAAGCAGAGCGCAGATAGAGAGAGTCATTGTTTTTCGCTGCCAGATTAATGCAACAGGTTTAAATGCGATATGTATATTTATGATGGATCACTGCGGGATGCGCCTCTGTTTTCTGCTAGATAAGGTTTTCAAATGTTTGCTGAAAGCTATGGCCTCTGCACACAAACATACATTGCTTGTCTTGCTATATCTTAATTCCTCTTTTATTATATGATATTAATGGGTTTGCTAAAATTGCCTTCAGGAGTTAGATAAAGTTTTAGGTGCTCCATATTTAAGCTACATTATACGTTACATTCTAAAAGATATGGGCTGTAAGTAAGCCATGCCGGTGCAGTGCAAGTGACTGTCTCCTCCACACTTAAATATGGAGCACCTTAACTCAACTAAGATACGCAGGCTGAACTTACTTCTTGCAGTCAGTTATAATCATAAACTTGCAGCGTTTTTCCGGGGCTTTTAATCCTTGTTAAACACTTTATGTGAAAAGTGAGTCAGATTGATTCTCTGATCCTGCGAGAAATATTCCCCCCTAGTCCTGTACCTGAGTACACAGAGAAGTTATTAGCTGATTTTTAGGGCTGATAATGGCTCTACTGTGATTTAGCAATGTCAGTACACTGAGGGTAATAAACCAAAGTTGAAACTTTCATTTTGGCTACTGGGCCAGATGACAGAGAAGAGCACAATTGGAACAGGAGATATTGTTATATTGTTCAGGAGGCTTTTTAACTGCAGCCGGGAGTCAGGAAAGACACATGATGTTCTTTTTTCCTTTTACAGCGTTAACACTCACTTCTGATTGCATATCGCTGCTAAATCCTGAGTAAGGAGTTTCTGATTTTACCCAGATGTCTTCTGTTTCCACCCCAAAAAAGGAAAAAGAAAGCATCAACTTGCAGGTGTCAGTTCTGCTCCGTCCTCGTGTATCATTGGCTCCATGAATGCTACATGCTTGTTAGTTTGGATTTTGGGCTGGTGTCTTGTAGAAGGGGAGAAAACGGAAGTTAGGTCGCTGGGGTCGTAGGTCGCAATGGGGATATGTGGAGGTTTGGGCTGTTTACAGCAGCTGCTGCGACATGGAGTCAGGTAGAGGTACATGAGGATGAAGACCATGGTCACCAAACAGCCCAGCAACGTGGTGTAGCCGGTGTTGAATGACTCGGCTGCAGGCAGCAGCACGGTCACATTCACCTCACGGGTTGCATTTCGTGCCTGTTTAATATCCACCGCTGTGCACACGTACAGACCTGAGTCATTGACCTTGGCTGCTTGGATCTCCAAGGTACCATTAGCAAACAGGGTCATTAGCATGTCATTTATGCTGGCCTGGGTTATGTACCCCTTGCTGGGGGAGAGCCATGTAAATGAAAGTTCTGTGCTACTCAGGGATGTTTGGCAGTCTAGACGCACTCTTTCCCCCTCTGAAACCACCACGCTGGAGAGGAGCACGGTCACTGGCTGTGAGACTGCTTTTTCCACCGTGCAGTTGTGGAAAAAACGGGTGTGTCGCAGGAACCGGATGGATGCTTGTGGATCCCCATAGATGGTGCAAGTGTGCTCATCCGTAAAATCCTTCAGAGAGTCATAACCCCTCAGATCCCAGTGCCAGAACACACTGTACATGGAACAGTCACAGATCAGAGAGTTGTTGTGGAGGTACAACCCCCGCTGTACCAACCCCGGCAAAGCTTTCACGTCCTCCCATGGTATACGAGTCATACGATTCGACGAGAGGTCCAGCATGTTCAGGAAAGGATGACTGTGGTCTTGGATGGAGAAGAATGGGAAGTGTGTGATCTGGTTGAGGCTAAAGTAGGCCTTTTTTAAGCTGCTCAGACCGCTCAGCGTGCCGGCCTCCACCTGTGTGATCTTATTATTGAAGAGAAGCAGCTCCTCCAGCCTCCACAGCCCCTGGAAGTAGTGTTGCTCCACCACATGCAGCTTGTTGGAGGACAGGTCGAGGAGCCTGAGGCCGGAGGCATTGTGAAACGCACCATGGCCCAGGGAGCTGACCTGATTGTGGGCCATACGGAGGTTTTCCAGTCTGGGCATCCTCTTGAAGCCACCCGGACCCAACCACGACAAATGGTTGTGGCTGAGGTCGAGGGTGACAGAGAAGGAGGGCAGGGAATGAGGTAGCTTGGCCAGACCACTGGAGCTACAACTCACTGTGTCAGATACACAGAGGCACATGGAGGGACAGGTCTCCTCAGAGCTACGGAGGAGACAGAGCAGAACCAGGAGAGGGCCTGTATACAGTCCAGAGGTCATGCTTCTGAAAGTCAGATCCTTCAAAGTTTTAATCCGTCTGGCGCTCCCTGATCAGATAAGAATCAAATGAGAAACAGCATGATATATTAAAAAGCGACCCACCTGCTGCATTTAGCCGTTCAACAGACGCATAATATGACTTCAGGGTTAATGTCATACAGGAGCACTCAGTAACTCTGACAGAAGAAAGAAAAATGGTTCAAATGTAGTAGCCACACTTTTTGCTTTTGAACAAATACTCTTCTCTATGTACACAGAAATAATACACATTGTTTTTGGTATAGAACACGACAAAACACAGAAAATATTCACCTGTGAGAAGTTTGAATTAGAGAATCTTGGCAATTAGTTTCTTTTAAAAAATGACAAAAATTATTAATCTGATTATCTAAATAGTTGCCAGTCAGTTTAAAGAATCAAGTGATTACTGAGACTCCAAATTTTTGTTGACTTAGTAGGAAACTTTTAAACACATTAAGAGAGCTTAGTGTTTAAAAGTCATACACTCCGAGGGAGATACTTCACCTTAAAAAGATGTTTCTTCTCAGTAAGTGTCAGGTGACGTGAAGTTGAACATTTTTTCTCAAATCAGTTCAAACCGATTTCCCGCTGCTGACTTGTAAGTCTGTATGAATTTGAAGGCAGAAAGGGGAAAAGTTCATACCACTTCAAGACGAGTGAGCACTTTGGCTCACGTAGTTAATCCTATTCTCCACCCACCCCCCACCCCCACCCCAAAAAAGAAGGAAAAAACAGAAATCCAAAGAAAACTGCTTAGCGACAACATGAGACTCCAACTTTCCTGCGCCTTTTCTCTTTCAAAGTTGTGTCCCATCAATGAATACCCACAACACTGCTGTCTAATCCTTATCTTCTTCTCAGATCCTCCTCCCGAGGCGCTCGAGGAATAATGCTTTTCCCTTTCTCCTCAGCCAAATTTAAGGTCCCCCCAACCGGCTTCCTCCTCATCCCAAATGAGAGTGCCGCTCAACAAACATCCTCCAGTGCTTTTGCAGTGTATAGCAAACAGCACAGAGCTCACTTAATCTCCCACAATCCCCTCCTCCCTCTCTGTGTCATTTAGAGACCAGCCTTGTATCTCCCTCTCTCATCATTCAGTAATGGTGCTGGTGGCTGCCCTTGCCGCTCTCTTTCTTCTTTTTCTTTCTTTCACCCTCTTGCAAAAACATCAGTTTTCTCACAATATTCTATTAATATTCTATTCCATTAAATGTTTAGGGTTTAGCTTACTGACAGATTTGTGGCACTTTTCTCATGAATGTTACATGTGATATGTGGTAACCTTTCCACTAATAATCCCAGAGGACTGAAACTTAGCCTTCCCTATATTGTATATCATTTTTGTGGTCGGTATTCTTATTGTGTTGTTTTTGTGAGTCCCTGAATTTTGCACATCCTGTCCGTCCCTTTTCATCTCTCTGCGTATTTTGTCAGCTTCTGTGCTGAAAGCCCTTCTGACTGTGCAGGTCCGTTCTTACCTGCGCGCCGCCATACCTTGTCATTTCTATGTCAGTGGTTTTGAGCTGATGGATATGGCCTGCCCCCTGCCCCGCACACGCACACACATTCACGCACAATTCTCTCTCTCTAAGTGCCTTAATCAGTACATCCCCTCCTTTCTTCCCGAGCCCCTGACATCCCTCCTTCCCCTTGGCTGTGGGTTTGACTGGATATATGCTGTCCAGGCTGCTTGGTCATGGTGGTCCTGACAGCTCCGATTTCTGTCACAGTGAATTAGCTTTGCCTCCCAGCAGCCACCTCCTCACTGCTACCCCCAACCCTCCACCCCCTCCCTATAAGTGCTTGGGGCTTTGACAGACTCCCACTCACTCACTCTGCGGAGGCACATAGCCGATTCCCCGTGGATTCAGGCTCGCTGGATGGGGTTCACTTCTCTAAAGGTGGGCTAAAAGGAGCAGATGCAAAGTCCACAGGATGCAGGAAAATGAAGGGGAATGTGATGTGGAAGGCTTCAGTCTGAGATCAGTTTAGAATATTCCTCCTCAGTGTTTAAGTATAGGATTAAGGGTAAAGAAAACACATTTGGATGTATTTGTGTTGAAATGAACAAGCTATCACCATCTTTGGCATTGTGGCATTGCACACAATCTTGTCCCAAGGCTAGTCATCAGCTTGGCTGGAACATGTAAGAAATATATACGCCCACACATGTACATTTGAGATATGTTAGAAAATGATTCTAAACAGGCCCTCCTTGTAGGTGTAGGTGGCTTATATCATGGCTCAAATGGCCTCACAGTAATTTGTGTTTTCCTTCTGTAAAGAAAACCTTCGTCCAAATAGCCTTTTAAATATTCATGTTTCATTGATTGTTTTAAGGCATTATGTAACACTCCTGTTCCAATCATGTATGTAGTGTGTCTAAGTCCCCAATTGTAAATGGATCACATAAGACCTATAAACCAGCGTGTTCATCTGCATAAGCTGGTAATGATTCATGGTGTGCAGAGAAGAATATGAGCATATGAGGCAGTTAAATAATGTGTATCATCATGCCAGCATGATGTCAGTGGCTGCATTTGTTTTTAGCTACAGTATAATTGTGCAGGGGAACATGCTCTTTTTCAGGCTGGCCTTGTTTTGCTGCTGTTGACATAACTTGAACATTTTGGTGCCTCATTATTTTCGGTATTGACTTTCATTCTGTAAAGGATCCGTCCTTTTCGAGTGCTATCATTTGTCTTCGTCCCCTGAGATTAATTCAATCAAAGCATGAACAGGTAAACAATACAATGAGATATTGAGTTTCTGAGCTTGACGTATCCACTTAAATTGTAAGACAATTATCTTTTGCATTTTTTCCTGCTGATTGCGTCTCATTATACAGTAATAATCTGTGTCGTTTCAACAGAATAAGGTCCTCTGGAATTATTAACACCTTCTTAATCCACTCATTTGTGATTGAAAATCTTTCTGTGAATCTCTATTTGTTTCTTCATGTTCCTGTATGTGTTGTCAAACTGGACAGAGTGGCTCCAGCCTGCTGTTCTGTAAAATCCCTAATCTAATCAGTATCTTTCTATAAAGCTGCTTTGCAAATCCCGCCTTCTTCTTCCCATGTATTTGACTCAGCGTATGCAAAAAAAAAAAGTCCTGTCAAATCAGCCAGGTTCAGGGTGGACCTCAAAGCTTCAACCCTGACCCTGATACACCCTGCCCCCAGCAGAAAGTGATTTTCTCTTTAACATCTGCCGCAGTGGAGAAAGAGGAAAAAAAAGAAACACAACAGCACAGGGAAATGTCTGCTCTTATCTTGCCCTTGAGAAGCAGTGAAGCTCACAAAGAGTCGATAATATAAAGCTATATATTTTCAGATGCAAGGAGAATATTTTTCTGGAACATTAAATCACTGGAATATAGTAATACAGAAATGTATTTAAGACGTCTTTATTTATATAGTATTCTTCCTCAATACTTGGCTCATAACTTGACAAGGAGTCTTGACAATATAACTGACTTAAAACCAACTAGCTGCGTTATATTTTTCTTCAGTAGCATACTGTAATGTGATTTGAAAGACCAATTGAAACGTAAGACAGATAAATAAACAATAGCAAACTCCAAGTTTAATTATTGAATAAATATTTGCAGAAGTGACAAGGCAGGATGAGACACAAGAGCAACCCTGACTGCCACATCAATGCACTGAAATATCCAACATTACTAAATGCAAAACCGGCAGCTGAAGGGTTTCATAGCCTCTGTGTGTCAATTATGAGCCCTTGACTTGGACCTGAACATACACACCTTTGTTCAGTATTTATTCTGCCTTTCAACAGCTTTTTGTTAGCATGGCTGACTGCCAGACTCTCAAATATGAATGAGTCAGTGCCTGGATAAAGATTCGGAGTATTGAGTTTTATTTCTTTTCTCTCCCCGGGTGAATCTGAAGTCTAGATGAGCTCTCTGTTGAAAAGGAGTTTCAGACAGTGCGAGATTGTTTGCTTGTCACAAGGAGCTGCTCAGCCGCTCCATATGCTCTGTATTCATAGTGATTGCAGTGTATTATTTGAGAATGTCTTACTCAAACCCCCCCAAAACCCGGTGAGATAGTGGTTTTATGTGTTGCATAATGGGAGACGCGCACATACAGTGTGCTCTTAGACAACATGAATGTAGCTTCAATCCACTCAACCCATCTGGTGGATGTAGTGTACCGTAAGTGTGAAGAGACAAGCACACCATCTAGTGGTTTAAGAGTCAACTAGAATGGTGAAACATCCAATGCTCTCTTTCCGTTCCCCTGTGACTATAACTGGTGCTACATAAAACAAATACATTTAAAGACAAACTTTAACTTATAGATTAAAAATGATGGAGAACCCTTTAAAAAACCCTATTATGAAACTTAAATACATAGTAGCCATAACTGCATAGTCAGAACTGAAGGCTATCAGTACACACTCTTAAAGGAATAGTTCTTCATTTTGGAAAATATGCTTTAAAAAATCTGATCATATATCGGCCCATGGTGTATCTATTTTTTAAAACATAAACACATAATGTGAACCAACAGTCTTGACACGGATCTCTTTGGTTACTTTTGTTGTTGTTGTTTTTTTTTTAATTGTGACATAAATACATTTTACACTTTTTGCATTTGTAAAGTCAACGTGCCTGTTCTCTCTGGTGGATAGACTAATGGAGACACTAATTCTTAATCACCTGAAATCCACTTTAGCATATTTATACTGCAATTTGTTGTTATCACCTGACACCGACATATCAGCAATACGCAAATTATTTCATATTATTTTATCTTATTGGCTTAGCTCTAGTCTGTATAACAAAATCTGCCTACCAGCTCCTCAATCGTATAACACTGTATCATGTTTGTTTAAGCCATACAAAACCCAAAGTGTAAAAAATGACATGTTGTGGTTTTGTTTGAGTTGCTTGCTGGACTGCTGAAGTGCCTTAAGAATTTCTTGTCTGGGTACACTTGTGATTTTTACACT